TACCCATGTAGTCCATGGGTAGGTACGGTCCAGGACCAGCAAACTTATGAAGCAATTCTATCATGTGGATAAACCTACAAGCAATCTTGCAGAACACCCAATCTCTCCAGTGTGTGTTGCGTGGCCATGGAATTATAATATGCAAGTCAATATGGTTTGACAGTGTGGATTTGATCTGTTAGAGAAAACCTGGTCAGGCACCACTCACCATAGAGTTGGATCCAAACAATGAGTAATAATAAGGAAAATGGAAATAAAGCCACTGAAAATAAAATAAAGAATAATAAAAGATAACTTACCCAGTCAAAGTCTCACTGAAGTCTGAAGAATGGTTACAGGTGGAAGACCATAGCCCAAAGAGGAAGAAACCGCGATGTTATGCAAACAGTGAGAGATGAATGTATTAGGAGTAATCCACATGCCCGATTGAAGAATTTCCTCCAATGGTTGAAGATAATGTGACACCAGAGAAAAGTTAAGGTGTCAAATTTGATGAGAAGACACCTAGAACAAAGTATGGAAGAAAGACAATAATAAGGAATAAGCCAATCGAATCAAAAGCCAAACTCAGCTGGTGAGAGTGAAAGGAGAAAGATAATGAACAGAGGATGTCTGCCAAGGGATAACGAGGTGGGAATGGGCACAATGGATGGAAGCTGTGTGGGCAATATCACATCAAAGAGCATGTACAAGACATAGAAATCTATCCTGATCAAGCCTAGGATAAAGGTGGGAAATGGAAGGAAGAGAAATTGGCAAAAAAGGAGTTACCCTCCCCAGCCACCAAAGTTATGGGAGGAAAGAACTATCCAGATAAAGTAGAAGATATGTAGGATGATAAAGAGTACATGAAACATCAATGGCAAATAACTCAGACTGAGAGTAGAAGGAGATAAATTTTAAGGGAAAGGTGAAACAAGGAACAAGTGGAAAGTGGTACGACTGGAGGCAAAGTGAGTCAGTGAAGGACCACATTAGCATCCCAGTATAGAAGGGCAGCTCATCATGGTGGATGATGAATCCAAAAGGAAATCATCAACAGGGAAAGCATAGGAGAGGTAAATGCCATAAAGTATTTGGAAAAACAAAAGGTGTGGGAAAAGGCTGCCGATAAACCAAGATGGAGGAAGCAGTAGACCCTTGATCGAAAAGCCAAGTAAGAAAATCTGCAATGAGAGAAACAGTGGGTTGATAAGTGGAAAACCCTTGATCCAGAGACCATCAGTGGAAAACATTCCATGTACATTGATAAACTTCCATGGAGGAAGGGCAAAAGTAACAAGCCAGAAATGAAGCTATTCATCAGGATAAGCCAGATCTTCTTGCCAAGACATGAAGACAGAGGACATGAAGGGCAAGATGAAGCACCATTGACTGAGGTTAATGAATAAGGGAGGGAGACAGAGGAAGAAGTAACAGAGGGGTAAGTTGGAGCTAGAGAAGCCATGTAAACCATGGTTGAGCCAGCTAGTAAGGAGCAATCAGAAGGACTTGACACAGAGTGGTATAGATGATTGAAATCACCCAGTGAAGAAGTCGAATGGGAGGATAGACATATAGATATTTCTTGTTCCAATCTTGGCTGAAAGCATCGACAGCCAGAACAAAAGGATGAGGGATCAGAGACCAAAACAATCGTAATCTGTGGTTGAGGGATGTGGCAAAAGTATCTATGTGTGGAGTACCCCATTGAAGGCAAAGCCACTGGAAAACAAGAGGATCAAGAGACTACTCTATTGGACAGACTTTGTCTGGATGGGAAAGCTGATCCACAACAAGACTGAAAGCACCTGGTACATGACACGCAATGGGCCCAGAAATAAGATCTATCATATGAATACAGAGGGATCAAGAACAGGTGCCACCTTGGTGATTGAGATAAAACAATCAGTGCAGAATTATTGGAATAGATTACTACCAGATGATTTCTGGCCAGATGGAGAAAATTAACCAAAGCCCAATGTACAGCGAGAAGTTCCAGGATGTTGATATTATAAGACCTCTTGGCTACAGACCAATACCCCAAACCTTCCTGTTGACTGACCCACACCCTCTGTCTCTGAAGGATGCATCTGTAAAAATGTGTAAATCTGGACGAGGAAGAGGAAGTGGGACACCTGCAAACATGCAAGTCTTGTCAAACCACCATTGCAGATCATCAACTAGAGTAGGAGGAAGAGTAGTAAGAGCCTGCAAAGGATCCTGTGTAAGATTCCACTGGTTGTGAAGAGCCTACATACGAGCACGACCTAAGGGGATAAGGGCTGCCATGGAAGACCACATTACCAAAAGTGATATAACCTCACGAACTATTATAGAGGGAGCAGAAAGAGCATAGAGAACTGAAAGCCCCATAGAATGAAGTCGCGGAGGAGAAGGTTAGGCCCAACTGAGATGTGTGTGGGAAAAAACACCCAAATGGACAAGATATTAGGCAGATTGAAGGAATGACTTCTCCAATTTGATTAACCAGCCCACTCAAGCTGCCTCCAGGAGCAGCTGATGAGTGTGACAGGTGAACTCCTGTTTGAAACAAGCTAACAGTAGCCAGTCGTCCATATAATGATGCAAGCACAATCCAAGAGCATGTAAGTGATGAGTGAATGCTCTGACCACCCAACAAAAACCATACGGGGCCAAAGCAAGACCAAAAGGCAGTGCGCAAAACTGATAAACTATCCCATGATAAACAAACCCAAATATATGGTCACAACTGAGAAGATATCGGGACTTGCAAGTAAGCATTCACAATGTCCATCTTGGCCATCCACAAACCTGGAGAAAATGCCTGAGGGTGAGAAACAAATCCATGGTAAAATGGAATAGACTGAGAAACTGATTGAGGCAGGACAAATTTATTACAAGCCACCAGTCTCCAGTTTTCTTGGGGACAACAAACAGCCTGAAGAAAGATGATGAACAGGTTCAATTACCTGTTGAGACATAAGGCCTTGTATGGCCTCTGACAGATGCTGGCAGGTGATAAGTTCCCAAAGCATAGAGAAGGAAATGGGTACTCGAGACAAAGGAGGGAAGGAAAGAAATTGGAAGACAAGTCCCTCTGATAAAACTTGAAAGATCGCCAAAGGGGTACACATTAGCAAAATCGAGCTCCCACCAGACTGGAACCCACTAGGTAGTCATCAATACTGTTGGTGGCCTGCCCATCTATGTCGAATAAAATGATGAGATGAGGAACTCCTAGAGGGAGGAACAGATAAGGGCTGAGAAGAACTAGGACGGGAAACAGAAATACGGGCATGTCATGGTTCTGACTGCAACAAATGAGCTACCAAAGAGGAAAAGGTAGAGTGTTGATGCACAGACTCCACACATGACTCCAAAGTCTCAGGTACATGGTCGATAACATACTGCCTAAGAAAAGGAGCCGTACATAAATCTCTTAGATAAGTGTGTGGCAAACAAACCTGGAACAAGGCAGCATCATAACCCAGAAGATCCCAACAACAGAGAAACCATGTGTGTAAAGCAAGAGCCGAAGACGACAAACGAGCCAATGTGGAGATAATAAGGTAGAGGCCATAGGAAATTGGGGTAATGGATAAAACATCACATACCTGTGAAATCATGTCTAAAAATGTCATATTAGGCCTAGCTGATTCTGCAGGTTGGGCATAGAAAAACCAGTTAAAATCCAGTGGCGGAAAAAAAATTATCAAAATCTTCATTGGCCATAACAGGTTCAGCTTGTTTAGGAGGAAGTGGGGCAAGCTCAGAAGAAGGTGGTTGACCCATATAATGATCAATATCTTGACAGATAATCGCTGATAAATCCAACAACGGGTCACCCCCACCTACAGCCTGTGAAAGAGTGCTTGTAGGAGGTATGATATCTAAAGTGGTAATGCTAACCTTAGAATTCATATCTTAAATATAAATGAAACAAAAATGTTTGTCCGACAAAAGCAAATGTGAGAAAAAAACAACAACAAAAAGACTGGAAAATTAAGTTAAAGTAAAAGGCATCTTCAATATAACGAAAAAAAATTAATGAAAAAAATCCCACTTCGGAACTGAAACTATTAAATTTACGAGTGCAAAACACACCAAAAGCAAATAATATCTGAACACGAGTATTGCCAAACGAAAAGTGATAGTTAAGTAGAATTGAAGTCACATGCGTAATAAGAGTGTGTGTCGCACTCTTATAGGTGGAGGATTCCCACATGATGATTTGCATGAGAGACGCATTGGAATTAGTCAATTCCAATGGAGGGGAGAAAAAGGACTTGTGGCATGTGTAAAACGTTTTTTGCATATAGGTGGCTACACTGAACTAGAAGAGCTATTTTTGTGAGAGGAGGTAATGTACCCTATCAGAATAAAATGGTATGTTTATTTTCAGACATTTGAATTGTTCAAAACAGGTAAGAAAATTAAACTCTAAAGCTCAAGTTTATGAACAGGTACAAAATTGACTAAATAAAAGAGCTGGACAATTAGTGGCATTTGCTAAATGATTAGTCAATCATTACAGTGTTCGTTGAACCATGGTATGTACAAGCAAAAAAAAAGAAAAACAAAAGGCTTTCAGCCTGAACTGTCAAAGATCAACAAACTTGAAATAATAATAATAACTTATAAGGCTAAGATTGGGCAAAACACAGATAGCTCATTATGTAGCTTTGTGCTAACAGCAAACATAATGGCAATATTTGGATAGTTGGAATAATCCAAAATAACAATAACCTGGAAAACTAAATTTAATTAGTTAATTGATTTTTGCACCAATTGATTTAATTGTAATCTTGAATAATAAATTGTTGGAGTAACTGAAAAAACCATAATTATCAGAAAAATTTTGATTAATTTATTCAATCATAATTTTGCTTAATCAATTAGTTTAAGTGACAGTTATCACTGCTCAATTAGCTATCCTGATTAAATGATTAAATTGCCAAGTTCTATTAAATAGCAAATAAAGTTATATTTTAGGTGAGAAAAATATGCAAAGAAAATTAAACACTTCGAAATATCCTCACATTGGGCTTGGAAAAAATCAATATTACACATGATCCAACAAACAGACTAGTTTAATCCGTCTTTGACTCTTAAACTTATGTTAAATGTTCTATGTTAACAAGCTCTGAGTTGATATAATATTTTTTTCACATTACATTTGTATTGGGTTGCCAATACATTTCTTGCACATTACATGTGGTATGTCTATAGGTGTATTGATAACATTGCCCTTATGCTTGTAATATTTTACTGATTGAATTCAAATACTTTACTTTGCATGTCAACTACTTGTATCATATACATAACTTTTGATTTATAATAAATAAAAAAAGCAATACCAATTTTTATAATGTATTTCAAAACTGCCAACTGAAATATTTTATATAAGAATAAAACATGAAATTGCTAATGCAATACATACTTTTTATAGAAGAATATCAATATTATCAGTCCTCTTAATATAATTATAAACTGATTGTATTCCATTTTGATATATGAGATACACCTGAAGAACTAACTTAAACCAAATATTCAATAATTTAGCACACCAATTTTTTAAATTATAAAAACAATTTACAAAGACTGAATAATTTCTACCAGTATATCTTGTACACTGTGACTTGTTTTCTGTATTAAAGACTCAATAATGTCTACCAATATATCTTGTACACTGTGACTTGTTTTATGTACTAAAGACTCAATAATGTCTACCAACATATCTTGTACACTGTGACTTGTTCTCTGTACTAAAGACTGAATAATTTCTACCAATATATCTTGTACACTGTGACTTGTTTTCTGTACTAAAGACTCAATAATGTCTACCAACATATCTTGTACACTGTGACTTGTTCTCTGTACTAAATACTGAATAATTTCTACCAATATATCTTGTACACTGTGACTTGTTTTCTGTATTAAAGACTGAATAATGTCTATCAATATATCTTGTACACTGTGATTTGTTCTCTGTACTAAAGACTGAATAATTTCCACCAATATATCTTCTACACTGTGACTTGTTTTCTGTATTAAAGACTCAATAATTTTTACCAATATATCTTGTACACTGTGACTTGTTTTCTGTATTAAAGACTGAATAATGTCTATCAATATATCTTGAACACTGACTTGTTCTCTGTACTAAAGACTGAATAATTTCCACCAATATATCTTGTACACTGTGACTTGTTCTCTGTATTAAAGACTGAATAATTTCTACCAATATATCTTGTACACTGTGACTAATTTTCTGTATTAAAGACTCAATAATGTCTACCAATATATCTTATACACTGTGACTTGTTCTCTGTACTAAGGACTGAATAATTTCTACCAATATATCTTGTACACTGTGACTAGTTTTCTGTATTAAAGACTCAATAATGTCTACCAATATATCTTGTACACTGTGACTTGTTTTCTGTACTAAAGACTCAATAATGGCTACCAATATATCTTGTACACTGTGACTTGTTCTCTGTACTAAAGACTGAATAATTTCTATTGATATATCTTGTACACTGTGACTTGTTTTCTGTATTAAAGACTGAATAATTTCTACCAATATATCTTGTACACTGTGACTAGTTTTATGTATTAAAGACTCAATAATGTCTACCAATATATCTTGTACACTGTGACTTGTTTTATGTATTAAAGACTGAATAATTTCTACCAATATATCTTGTACACTGTGACTTGTTTTCTGTATTAAAGACTCAATAATGGCTACCAATATATCTTGTACACTGTGACTTGTTCTCTGTACTAAAGACTGAATAATTTCTATTGATATATCTTGTACACTGTGACTTGTTCTCTGTACTTAGTATGCTTAAGTGAAACGTTCAAGCACTAACCTTGCAATTCAAATCCTTTTCTCTTTGATTCAATGGACGACATCTTACAATAACTTTCACTGCTTCAGCCATTTCAGAAGTTTTCTTTTTTTCTTTTCAATAAGTGCAATAAGTTTAAGCTGTAACTGAATAAATCAGTGTATCAGTCAGATGAAAGTTTCTCCTTATACAAATAAGTAAATTTAAATTTTAAAACTATTTTTAGACTATAAATCCAAAGTTAACATTCTTTCTACCTGAAAATGTATTTCAGATAATTAATCTCTCTAAATAGAACAAGCATCTTGCCAAACCATTGAAAAAGCACTCACTTCTGCAAGTAATCTTGTGTATTGCATTAGTCTATGTTGCAATCATCAGACTATACCCCCCTCCACTGACAGCAGAAATCTTCTTTCACAGATTTCCCCAAGAGAACTTTGTATAAACCAAAATCTCATTATTGATGACGGAAATTAGACACTGTGGAAGTAGAGTGAGTGGTTCTGTGGAGAGGTGACAAACAAACAAAAGTAGTGGTTGTAGAGCCATAAGTGAAGTTTGAGATTGAGAAAGCAGAGATCTGAGAGCAAGTACAGTGGAGTTGTCTGAATAGATCATAAGATATTCAGATGTATGTGACAGAAGACTGTGGCAGATGTTTCAAACTTCAAAAAAACTTGTTGATATTAAGAGATGGATCTTCTGGAGATCAAACACCAGGAATGGTGAAGGTGTCCAGAACCATATCCCATTTAAACAGAGAAGTATCCATGAACAGATGCAAGTCTAGAAGAGGTAGACGAAAAGGGATACCCAGGGTCATGTGGGAATGACTGAACAATCATGACAACAAGAGGTGAAAAGATGAAAGGACAGAAACAAGAAAAGTTAAAGGAGCTCTGGAAATATTACACTAATCTGGCAGAGTACACTAAAGGGGATAAAAATGAGCATGTCCAGGAGGTATAGAGAACTCAGTATAGTCTGAAGTTCTCAAAAGGGACAAAACCTCTCATGCAGGAAGAGAAGGAGATGAGAACTTTGGTAACCAGAAGCTCCATGTCTTGCAAACTTAGAAGAAAAGGTTGGGTCTGCACAGGAAATGAGTTGATAAAGATCCCCCAAATACATCAGATAATGAGAAAGGATCAAAACTAATTTTTAGAGCTTGACCAAATATTATAAAGCTGATTTAATCACCATCAAAAATAAATCTATAAACTCACGTCACTGTTTGTATATTAAGGAGATGAAAACTAAGGACAGAACCATAAACAGCTCTTAATCATAACACTATATTATACCATACTTTTTATAACAGCAGCAGGCTTCAGCCTTCAAACTTCCTATTCACAGTCACACCGTCACTATCATCTTCATGTAAGTGTATAAACACCACTATCAAAAAGGACATTGATCTGCACAGAAAAATAAGTGTCTGCATATATAAAACCACTTAAACAATACAATCCTTTATAATAAAAAAATCCATAAACTCCTGTATGTTTGTTTTCCCTGAACATTTACCTAAATGAGCTACATATACATACTGAATACATAATCTTTGAAGATTTTGTTCAATAAAACTTAGGTTGTTTTGAGCTTTCCAGAAATGAAGCTTGAAGCTCATATTAGCAAAGTTTATACAAATATATTAATCAATTTTCCTAAGTTAAAGACTGATCTCCTACATTGTATGTGGTTTGGCTCATAATAGTATATTTTTATGTTTTTAATGTTAAAATACCATCAGCAATATACAATAAGTCTAGGTTTTAACTTATTCTCTAGGTAAGTGTACAGGGACAGTTTGAAGGATTAAATGATGTCTTGTTAAAGTATGTTATCTTTTAAATATTTCATGTTTTGTATCATCCCAATAATATTACTTGTTTCAGGAAAGTAATCATTAACTAATTCAATTACACAGAAAATTGATAATAATATTTACATAAAAACTGTTTCCAAAATAACTTGTCCTTTAAAAACCAGATTTAATCTATTACACCTTTACTGTGTATTCATGATGTCAGAAAAACACATAGGTTCAAGAAGTCTTAAGATAAAATGATAAAAACCCTACAGCCTGAGTGTTTTCGAAAGGTGAACCTTTCTTCTTCAGGGGTAAACCAGTTTCAAAAGTGCTTGGATTATAGGGTTTTTACCTCCATTGTGTGTATATATATATATATATATATATATAAAGAATGTAAATATATTTAGAAATATTCACTGAGTGTGATATGAACCTGGATTTCTTGATAAATATTAGTATTCTGGGAACAATGTTCTATCATCTGAACAGCTGGGGCTTAAGTCTTAGCATATAATTCAATCCTGGCTATTTCAGAATTCATCTACTCAAACAAGACTTATCTTCAAGTCTACAAAACGAAACACAGCATGGTATTAGGAAGTTGGAAATACAATCACAAATAGAATCTACCAAGACAACCACTGCCCAAAGCATTCACCATCTACTCAGCCACTAGGTAGGGACTAATACACAAGTAATGAAATAGGGGCTACAAAAACTATAAAACTGCCTTGACTTGTATTTGAATCCAGGACTTCTGGCTCAACTGGAGTTATGAGGCCAGCTGATCTACAGAACTCAAGCACAAACCAGATAACTTCCATTATGACTGTTACAATATACATTTAGTTAATAGTCTGCTTTCTAGAACAGAAGAAAGTAATATCATCAAAATGTTTTAAATATTTACTAAACCTGTTAGTTTAAACCAATTGCACTGTGTTTCAGAAGTTCAACATTTGTTAGATCTTAGTCTATTGAGATAATGTACTTTTAAATGTTATTACAGTTTTATGAAAAAATTATAAAAAACCATAAGACATTGTTATATTATAATTAAAGTTTTGCAAAAAATTTAAACTAGCAATAATATTATTAAAAAATACAATATATCACACATATTTTGCAAGCTTGTCTAAAATGTTCTTTATAATCAAATTCTAAATATAATGCATTCCTGTATTTAATGATAATATGATTTTTATCATATGACATTGACACCTGTATATCAAAAAAAGACATATTAAATTTTCATACATTCTTTCCAGAATATGGATTAAAACTAAAAATGATGAAATCCAAGGAAATTAATAAATGATTTTGTATTTATTAAGGCTTTAATTATTTGATTTCATTTAATTTTAATTCTAAATATACATATTAAACAACAGTTTTTACTTAAGTTCACTAATGTAGCAAAAAGTTAAAGCAAAATCCAATATTCACTCAAAGCACACACTACTGCATTTTAAACACAATTTGCCACAGTAATTTCAATAAAAATTAAATATGTTAAATTCCTTTAGTTAAAATAATGCAACATTCACCAGACAAAAGAAAAAACCTCAAAATATTTCAGCTGTACTCTGAGTCTGACAGAATGGATATTTGTTTAATATTAGTAATTCAAGTTTAGTTTCAGTGCCACTAACTAATATAATCACATTAGGAAAACCTGATAAATCTAGAATTTTTGACAGGTGGATCTCTTTTTATCAAGGGTAGCGCCTAGCTTTGTCACTGATAAATACAGCTAGGACCACTTGCCAGAAGCTCTGAGGCTTCATTGGGTATTTGGTTTCTGTAATGTGATTTATAAATCTTTTGATCTTGCTTTTTTTTTCTATAATGAACTAACTTATTTATACAAATATTGTGCATTATGCAGCTAACAAAGCCTAAATGTGTTTTGTTTTTGTTTTTAATTCTTATATACACATGTAAATTGTATTTTGTAATACACTACAGTATATTTCTGACACTTTTAATGCAGTTCCTTTTCTTAAGTAGGCGCTTAAATAAATTCAACGTTTTAAAAGGTTGTAATATCCAATAAATAGTAATATTATCAACAATTCTCATCAATAATATTAAAGGACATGGAAAAAAATCAGCAACTTAAATGAAAGAAAAGAAAGTCTTTAATATTTTCAGTGGTTGTCATACTCATGTAAAACTTTAAATTGTAATACATTATCTGGTTACATTTCTTTTTCTTGCCATGGGAATTAGCTTCTAATGTGACTTACTCAAGTAACTGTACCGTGGCCGAACATTCCAGCGACGTTGCTTTCTATCTTCCCGCCAGTAGTAATAGAAATTCAACGTGCATATCCTTTGCCTTCTTTTCTAACTCAATACGATTTTTGTTACATGTTTTTCATGTCCTTAATCGTTTTTATCGACAACACAAACAACTGCTTCTGGTTTTTTAACACGTACTTTCAGCGCGTAACAACCATGATGTTCTAAGCAGCTGGCGACATGAAAATTTATATGTAATATTAATACACATTGAGTACTTTTTTGAATGAATCCATTTTACACGTTGCACGACATACTACAAAATATGGTGAGTTTGCTTATTAACTTATTACTTGGGTTAATTAAGAAAAATCTATTCAATTTGATATATATTTAATAAGCCAAACCTTAGAAACATATTTTATTTTTCTCTAGCTATTAGTATTGACAACACGAATACCATAGCAACAAAAAATATAACAAAGTTGTCAGGCGAAATAAAGCGCTATCTACTGGTACTAAACAAAAGTGAAAGCACTTGTTCCCGATTGTTGATAATTGGTTTCCGTGGTTTTAACGTAATGGTTTCACGAGTAATGGTTCAAGAGTATGTAGATTTCTTCCATTCTGTGCTCTGAGAAGCATCTTGAAGTGTTGTATGTTAGGTGGGTTATCATTACAGTTCTGTATATGTTTTACTATTTGTGCTGGTTTTACACTTTTGAAGTTTTTTTTTTAAGTTTATTTGAGTTTTAATATCTGGATAGACTCCGTTATTCAGTTTCTTTATCATGAACTTCATACTTCCGAGATAGGGTAATACTATGGACAATTTTTGTTGTTGTTGTTTGGAGGAGGTACAAGATGTCATAGTTTGTCAAAAAGAAGTAAACTATCTTACCAAACAATTTCCTTTCATCTTTAACGGAAATACTTATGAACAGATAGATGGGGTTGCTATGGGATCCAACTTAGCTCCATACTTAGCTAAGTCATTTCTCTGTCAGCCAACTTTCATGGGACATTTTACTCATTTTTATAGTTATGTACCATCTGTATTTAAAGAGAACCTAATCGAAATTTTTGTGTATCGAGCTTAAAATATTGCTAATAATAAAGAACTGTTGATTCAATAATTGTTTAAATTCTAAAAATATCTGCGCGAGAAGTTTTACTCGCCCAACCTGGTTGAAAAAGTGTTAAACACCCAGATGGAAAGCTTCAATATTGAATACCAAGAATTCGATTTTGTCTTTTGTTGCTTGGTAATCCACGTAAAATGCAACGATGAATGAAACATAGCGACATTTCCCGCTCATGAATTGTACGTAACGATTAGTCTAAGGGCCTCTTACGCTAAACATAATGTTTCGATACCCGCGGTCGGCACAGTGCAGCTAGTTCATTATGTAGCTTTGCGCTTAACAAAAACCAAGCAATTTAACCTAACATAAGTCTGTCGTTTAGGGAAACAAGAGTACTAACAGTATGTTAAATGGATAACTTGTCTCAACTACCATGAAACAATCTGACAGTCATAACGTAAAGTTAAAATGCTCCTTATACACTAGACTTTGGAGAAAAACTTCGAAGAATAATGAATACCATTGTCTTCAGAAGTCCTGCCACACTACACGACAGTCTTACGAAAGTAAAATCCTTAGTTCTCAATCCTGTCGCACACAAAAATAGTGGTTAATAGCAATCATTGTGAGTCTACTAATCAATAGTTTTGAAGAGAGACACAATGCCCGTTACAGGTAATATTTAAAGAACACCAAAGAAGCATTTAAAACTGTGCTACAAACATATCAAAAGTAGCCTTTCGTGTTTAGAAACACAGTCACACAATAGATTTTAAAAATGCAAAAGTAATGTAGAGAGATGAAAACATCAAAGAAGCTCTTGCCATCCAAGCACAAGATAGTAGACTGAACCACCAATGGATATTAACCAAAACATCGGCACAAGATAGTGGACTAAACCACCAATGGATATTAACCAAAACATCGGCACAAGATAGTAGACTGAACCACCAATGGATATTAACCAAAACATCGGCACAAGATAGTGGACTAAACCACCAATGGATATTAACCAAAACATCGGCACAAGATAGTGGACTGGACCACCAGTGGATATAACCAAAACATCGGCCCACAACCATTCAGAACTATTGGACATCACTTATCCAAAATATCATGATATCAACGTAAAATGAAACCTTTAGAAATTCTTATTTCGTGCTCTACTAACATTATACTTTCCTACACAATACTTTTGATTGCAATTTTTATATTTTCTTGTGCTTATAATATTCAAGAAATTGTTCGATATTACACATTTTAAAAAAATAAGAGTGTGTAAATTATTCATTTTGTTATAGGCTACAAAGATATGTAAATACAAGCTAAGGTACCTGTCCTTTGTTCGGGTTATGAACGTTAAAAAATGTGGGGGTGGATGCTATTGTTGCGTCAGCGAGGTCACGTGACTAGTGTCACGCCACGTTTCTAGAACTATCTTGTTCCTTCGTGAATGCCCTAGCATTTACTAGATATATGTTTGTCTGGTATATATATAAGACGCTCACAACGTGACAACAAGGTGTATGTATGTAGTGAGTAATTGATCTGCAGTCAGAGAGTATTGTTGAAGTTCGTTATAGCGTTTGTTTTAGCACGAATGTTGAAATCAAGTGTATCGTAAAGTTATATTCAGAAAGAATAAACCAGTTTTATTAAGTAAGGACTTGTGTCGCTAAAGTTTCGTCGGAACGAAGTTACGGAAAGTTAATTTACAAACGGAGACGTAACAAATTGGTGTCAGAGAGTGGGACAAAAAAAAATGGAAACGAGAAGCGGCAAATCAAACTACACCATAGCAGACTTGACGGCAGCAATTCAAGAACAGCAAAAGAAACAAGAAGAACGAGAAAATAAACAAGAAAAGAAACACGAAGAACGAGAAGAGAAATTACAACAGTTGTTAGAGGAAAAAGAAAAAAACAAGAAGAACGAGAAATTAAACAAGAAAAGAGATTACAGCAGTTGTTGGAGGAAAAAGAAAAGAAACAAGAAGAGAGACTACAGCAGTTGCATGAAAACCTGCAACAGTGGCAGCTCGAACAACAAAATAAACAAGAAGAGAGATTACAGCAGTTGTTAGAGGAAAAAGAAAAGAAACAAGAAGAAAGATTACAGCAGTGGCAAGAAATCCTACAACAATGGCAGCTCGAACAGCAAAATAAACAAGAGAGATTACAGCAGTTGTTAGTGAGAAAGAAAATAAACAAGAAGAACGAGAAAAGAAACAAGAAGAGAGATTACAAGCAGTGGCAACTGGAACAAGAAAGGAAACAAGAAGAACAAATGGAAAACATTAGTAAATTTAAAAGCGAATTAGATACGTTAAAGGACGGTCTATTATCTTTTACACAAGAAGGACACATTGACCATCGACTTAATCAGCCCCGGACAATGGCAAGCACCTTGCAGAGCCCGCAGCTAAACCCTAATGCAGACATATTCAGTCCCGTTAGAAGTCACATCCCAGATAGGAATGTCAGTAATAGGAGTGATCCAGTGCGAAGGAAGTCACAGGAATTCGATGGCAAGGCACCGTGGGAAACATATAGAGCACAATTTGAGTTACTGGCAGAGATGAATGGATGGACAGAGGAGCAGA